TAACAACTTAAGAATGCCAGGGAAACCTCAGTGGGTAGTGCTGAAAGACAAAGAACAGGGCTGTTAGGTCATGAGGAAGATCTGACTTGCAAGTCATTGAATTGTCACCACTGCTACCTGGTCAGCATCCCCTCTACTACCATCAAAGGTCACAGTTCAACAGCCTGACATGGCCAAGGCCTGTGTGCAGCTGGGTGGCAGAACAGTGGAGGCCATGGCTCCGGATTTGGTGTTCTTCACACAAGACCATGCTTGTAGTAAATCTCTCTTGGAAGGATGCTTAGGCCAGGAATGAAAGAGCAAAAAGAACTTGTCTGGATGAATCCATAGTTAATTAGGCAGCTGCACAAACCTATTTATACAAGGTGACAGATAAGAGCTGTTGAAAGACAAATAGTGAAGCAAAGCATTTATTATAAATAAACGCAGAGGTAAGGTTGAGGTATTAATTTTTAAGGCAATAATTATAAATCGAGTTGTAGCCTATTATCCCATTAACGTTATACCTATTTCCACATACAATGTAAGACTGATGAATCCTTTTCATGTATTCTTTTCAAGATCCCAACCAAGGCAGCTGACCAGGAATAAATGCCGGCAGAGGAGTCCTTCCTTCTTCCTTTCACCACTCCACTGACCCTAAAAACCCAGATCCCACAGAGGCACTGATGTGAACAGCTACCAGCAAAGCCATTCTCCCCCAACCTTCCTACCAATGACCTTTTCCCCCCTCCTCCTCCTGGTTGGACACTGACCTTCCCATCTCTACATCGAGGTCAGAAATGCAGAATCCCTGTTCTGTGTGGTCCCTGGGACCCATTCACACTTCTTAATGATGATAGGTTGATGCCTTTCAGTCCCACAGTTCTATAGAGAAGACATGGATGCTTCTCTGAGACAGCTTGGATGAGCTGAGAGTCATCAACTATAATCATTCCAGTAAGATGGAGAGCCATCATCTGTCCTGTAACCATGTCCTAAAGTTCTCTGGTCCCTAGTGGGCTCTTGTCTGACATGCCAATCCATCCATGGGGTTCCTGGGTCTTGCATCTATGCCATCACTGGATCTCAGACTTCTAGGCCCTTCCATCCAACTTGCAGCAGAACACTGTATTGTGTTCCCCTAATCAGAGGGTGAGGTCCTCAAGAACGGGGACTGTCTTCCTTTTTCTATTTGAATCCTCATCATTTAGAACAGCACTTGGAACATGGTAAGTGCTTAATACATGCATTTCATTCACCCATTTATTCAATTCAAGCTAAGTTAGAAATTCCTTATTTCTATTATTAGATGTAGCATGGTTCATATAGTAAAAAGTTCACTGGATTAGGAATGGAAAGACCAACATTCACATCCTAGGTCTTCTACTTTCTACTTCTGCAATATTAAGCAAGTCACCTCACCACTTGAGACCTCAGTTTCCTTATCTGTAAAATGAAAGGCTAGACAAGAGAGCCCCCGAGGTCCCCTCCAGCTCTAGGCCAATGATCCTATGAAATCTCTGGGTGTCAGTTTACTCATCTGTAAAACCATGGCACAAGATGATCTCTTTCCAGGTTCTTTCCAGCTCAAAAATCCTCCCTTATATTTATATTTAATGAGGTATCACAGGTAAAGTATTTTGTACACTTTAAAGCACTATATAAATGCTAGGTATTATCACTATTGTTGTTTAGTACTTTGTGATAATAGAGTGCTTTGCATACCTTTTCTCAGCTGACATTTACAAGAGCCCTGTGAAATACCCTGGAACTTTTATTTACATTTGACAGAAAAGTGAAGCCCATAGAGGTTGAAGTCATGAGGTGAACAAGTGAGGAATATGGTACTAAAATCTAAATCTAGTGATATTTCCATTACATCATACTGCTTCTCTCATATAAGTAAGGATAAAATAGAATTGAACAAAGATAATCAGTCTGTGAGATCAAATGAGCATTTTGTAATATTAATGATACCGTACTGAATGTAGTTGTTCAAAACTCCAGAGACCACTTTATATGTTTAGTTCTAAAATGTCCTTATTTCTCCATGCATACCTGGATCTAAGAAACTTTAGTTCTATCAAGTCTAAATACACCTGGTTTAAAGTTTTTAAAAACCTGCTACCTAGTAAATAAACATGTTTGAACCAACGTGGAAATTCAGGCTATAGAAGACTAAATTTTGCTTAGAATCAAGGCAGGGCAAAACATTTTCTTCCCTCGAAGAGTGAAACAGAAAAAGAAGAGGAGTCAATAGGCCGGTGACTATTAACTAAGAAACAATAAAAGCAACTTTTTAAGTATAATGCATACATTTGTTCAATTTGCTATCAATGTTTTAAAAATTCAAAAACTTTGCAGGATTGTTTATGACAGTATTTGCTGTCTTATTAACTGACGTTGACATTGTTTTTTATTCAGGTTGTAGATGAAAGGTTTTTTTTCCCTATCTTAAAAAAAATCAAGACCAAGTCAAGAATAGATTCATTAAAAGTTTCACACTTATGCTAACAAACTCTGATATTTATATTTAAAATACAGTGAAATCACTGAAGATAACATCCAAGAAAAGCAAAACTCTTGAAAGACTGTTAATAATTTACCCTCTTTAGTTCACATGGGAATGTTCATTCAGCTTACCAAAAAGGAGTTTGAAAATCACATTTACTATGAATAAGCGACAACAACAAAAAAATACAAAAGCAAACAATTTATAATATTACATACATGTTTATATATAACAGAAACTCTGAGACAAGTTGTTTCATGTGCCAAAAAACATTCTTTGCTGCCTCAGGAATATCACAATAAACAGTTGAAGAGGAAGTTCAAGAGAACAACCTAAGGTCTTTGTGATAATCTTAATTCTGGGGTTTCCTCTGTTTTACTTCTATACATGGTAAAGGCTCTTTATTCTTCAACCCTTCCTGTACAATAGCATCTTTCATGGCAAACAGAAAAAAATAACTGGCCCCCAGCAGCAGGGTCAGTCACAATTCCTTTTGGCTGTCTGTGGACTGAGGTGCACAAGTCCTGAAAAATCCAAGACAAACAAGAGGAACTAACTCAAAAAGTCAGAAGCAAGAAAAATCAAGTGTTCCCTGTAACTTCCAACAGAAAACAACACAATTACCACTATCTAACTCAAATATAGTGACTGTCAAATAAGTCCAGAAAAACATCAAGATGAGAATGAAGTTAATTTCCATAGCCTAAAAAGAAAAACAAGGCAGGACATTTGGGGCTCTACCACAAATCCTTAAAATTGTTTTCTTTCTTAGCTGTAACAAGGCTGCTTTTATCCAAAGTTATTATTATCATGACATTTTTGGCATTTGTCACCCATACCATCTGCCCTCAGGATACACAGGCACACTTTAAAAATACACAGTTTAGCATTAAATCACTGAAAACACCTTAAAAAAAAAAGCAGCAAACATATGGCCTACCTGTTTAGCCATATTAATCTGAAGAGAAAAGCTCTGCACCATGGCCTAAAGGTCAACAAATTCTGTCTTTAATTGCTTTAGTAAGAAGGATATACATAGAATAAGTCAATCTGTTTTCTTTTTCTTTTTTTTAATGCCCTTCCTTCAATTTTCTAAAGTCAGATTTGAAACACTGTTACTAGGTGTGTTGAGAGCCATTGTAACTATCACAAGTGTCAAAAAAGATAAAATAGGCAGACAAAGTTGTCTACAAAAATGTAAAAATGGGAGATATTTAATCAGGAGATCTCCATTTTCAACATTTCCTTAATTCAAATTAGAAGGAGATGAGGAGGAGAATAATTATCAATGAACATTTTCTCATTACAATAAAGCCAAATTCCTAATCTAGTTATGTAGGTCAATTATGAGATGTACATGACCAAAGTACATTATTTCAGCTTTTTACATATTAATTATTTCAGCAAATAAAGGATTAAAAAGTCCACTTTCCCAAAACTTTTCAAAGTTTAAGTTTTCAAACCCAAGTTTTAAAAAAGCATAAGTATCTAATAAACCTCAAAGGTAAACATTCTGGTTAGTTCTTTAACACTCATGGTTTTTGCTGAGAATCTGTATAATTTTCAGGCAAAATACAGCCAATGACAGATGCACAGGGGCATGGAAATTAATTGGCATCAAGAAGGAACCCTTCCTTTGAGTAATGGAGAAAAATATAAAGTCACATGTTTTGATGAGCTTACTTTTCATAGCCTTAATAAAGCATATGCCCCATTAATGACTTATGATCTGCAAACAGATGCCTAACCACATAAAATAAAAACCCTTGCTAAAATACCAATTTGCTGAGTGTCACGCAACCAGCAACCACTGAATGGAAACTGGTGTTACTAAATGGACTTAGATGTAAACAAATTTAGTCAAAGTTTAGTTGGTATGGTTTTCTGTGTCATAATGCTGTCTTTCATATACAAAGATGATGTTACTGAATCACCATTAGTAAGGCATGTATTTTGAGCTGTTTTCCCAGTAGTGATGATAAATTTAGATTAATCCATCTTACATTCTCTCAAAAATAGGGCACTCTGAAATAGTTGTCCTCAAGAACAATGGCAAGAATTTAAGAGACAGCTGGTCAGGGTTAGGGGTATGACCATAGAACAAAGTAAATCTAAATAATATACACAGAGCTTAAAGCCACGACCTTGGTCTCATTAGCATCATGTTCTAACCACCTAAACTAACCTTAATCATAGGCTTAGTATAACCCAGAATAAATCTCTGTGAGACACAATGTATTCTAAAATCTTAGCAGCTGTGTGTGCTTTTTTGCATTTTGAAGTCCAGACTGACTCCACCATCACCCAACCATTGATCTTTTCCCGGGCCTAAAAATACAAGAGCAATTGGTGACTAAGTCTATATGAACACTATCCCAAGAAGTACCTAATTCCATCATGTGAAAGAGGGTCTGGTGATTCCTGCACTGATGAAAATAGTTTAAGTAGAAGAATTACACGGAACATAGATGCACAAACCAAATTTAAAAAAAAAAAGGTAAGTTACCTGGCCATCCCCAGACTTGCAAAATTGGCAGGGACAATTAGCACATCAAGCCTGGAGAAAGGATGAGTTCCCAGGGTTGAATGTGCTGCTGAGAGGCACTGAGGAATCAGCTGAAGCAGGTTCTCTTCACAGCAATGTTGGAGACACTCTGGCGCAAACACCCGATAAGGAATAATTGCTTGAGAAGCAGCATCAGGATTCTGGAAATGGCAGGGGTACTCCATATGACCACACACCCAACTGGCATACCTGGGTGGGACATAAAATACATACATTTTGTGGAAAATCTGATGATGATGTTAGTACTTGTGTTGGAAGAAAGTAACATCTGTAGACAAACAAACACAGTCCCTAAGAGGCAATAGTACAGATGGGCTTCCAGAGAAAACATCTCATTTGTAGTCTTGCTTTTTTTAATGTCAAGACAATGGTTAAAAAAAAAAAACAGGTATCAACATTATTGATGTGCTTGAGTGGAATTGATTTGGTTACTTCAATCCAAGCTAAGTGAAAAGTCGCAATATCTTGTTGATAATAAATGGGGGTGGGGGGAGGGATCCTAAGACTCAAAATGAATTCAAAGGAAAAAACAAAAAGGCAGGAACAAATTCTGTCTTCAGTAATGTACTTAAAACTCCCATTATGGGAAGATTTTCTCAGAAATAATGTATAATATGTGGCCCAAAAGAAAAGAAAAAGGGACAGTAGAGAGTAAACTAAAGATGCCACTCTGAAATTTCCTGGAATAAAAGACTTAGAAGCCATTTGTAACACTTAACCAAATTAATGCAGGTATGGTCTTTTTCAAACGAACACAAGACTTTTTACTGAAAAGAAACCTGCATGCTCTTTACAAAAGCCACTAAATGGTGTTTCTATTAAAGAAGGAACATGAGAGCCACTTCTGACAGTCATTTTCAATCAACTTATAATAAAGGCTTGACAATATAAACACTTTAAAGAAACAGATCAGGGTTCAACCTGTACCATCTGACTGCCACCAGTTGTTTTCAGCTGAGCTACAACGAGCCTTGCATTTATGAAATGCCTTTTATCCACCCAAGTCTATCTCTCAGGAGATTCATATATCAGTTATATAAATAAGCCTCACCTGTCACTGAAATCAAGTGGTAAAGAACAATCAGCTTCCTGCCCTGGTCATGTTATACTCTTAGGAAACAAAGCATGGTGGTGCATAAAACTTTCATCTGGGATAAGAGCAGGGGAGAATGCAAATATGAATACTGAAATCTAACTCAAGCACAAGGGCTAAGTTATAAGTTACTTCTTGGGGAAAGTACTAAGGGTGACACAGACACACACATTCTCAAGTTATATGTCTTGTATATCCCTACTTATTTTGTCTATCTATCTATCCTTTCTTTTTATCCTCAGTGATCAGGTCAGGGCCTGGCACACAGTAAACCCTTAATAAATGCTTGGTAATTGTGACATAAGACAACAACAAAACTTATTTTAAAAAGATGAGTACCTGAACTAGGGTGATGAAATGGAAAGGGAGGGATGGAAGTGAAAGACGTAGAAGTAGAATTCACAGGAATTAGCAAATGACAGATATGGAGAGCTGACAGAAGGAAGAGGAAAGGATGAAGCTTTAAGTTTTGTATGACTGATAAAATGATGTCATCATAAGAACAGGTGAGGTAAGAGGAATGTAAGAAGCAGCCTGGTATGATGGATACAGAACTGGCCTTACAGCTGGGAAGACCTGACACCAAGTCCCATTTCAAATATAAATCAGCTGTGTGATATGGAGAAAGTCATTTAACTTTTCAATGCTCTAAAGGTGCTGACCTACCTACATTGGGGAAGGGAATTTCATCCTCTCATAGTTCCTTTACTAGTAAAAGCAAAGGTCTAGTCTCTATCCCTAGATTGCTTTATCTGTTGTATTTGTACCCCCAGGATCCAATATAGTGCCCGGAGTAGAGTAGGCACTTGATAAATACTTGCTGTTCAACTGACTGATCACTATCACCAGGAAAGATGAACAGATTTTGAAATTTTGAAAGGAAGATCCTTTAGACATACTGATTGTGAGATGCAACCAGGAAATCCAGGTAGGAATATCTAGTAGGTGGTGGGAAAATTAGAACTGGAGTTCTTGACTAAAGGTATAGCTTTGGCAGTGCTCTACATGTAGGTAATAAATGAAACCACAGAAGTATATGAAATCTCTAAAGTAGAGGTACCAAACTCAAATAGCAATTGACCACTAAGGATCCATAAGGATCTCCGTGGCAGCATATGAGGGAACTGAGGTAACTGAGTGAACCACATTGACTCCATCTTGACTCAATTCTGGATCCAGCTCAGTTCCTTTTATATTCAATTAAGAGTCTACTCCAACTTGTGTCTTGTGAGAACACTTTTACTCAATGGTGGGAATTGTAAGAAAACTTTATTGCACTGTTTGAACCTAGTTCTACATGACTGGGAAACTGGATCACCTCTACCTGCTACTTAGAGACTCTTAACTACGGACCTCAGTTATGCTGAACAGAAACCAGTCAGATCCGAAGACTGATGCAACGAATTTTCTCACAATCACACATCTCAAGGAACCCATTTGTTTTATCTGAAAACTGGTCCCATACTGATCAATCAGTTATTATTTCCATGTTCCTTTGACTGAAAGCAGACACTTGCAGGAAGTGGGATACCTCTTTTCTGAATTCAGGGAATTGCACCCATTCACTCTCCCCCTTCCAATTTAGAAAGTCCCTAATCTTTTCTCCGATTAGAAATCAGATTACCTAAATTTTGTATTCTGGCTAATTGGTTTTATTGATTACTTGTTTTTAAAGTATAAAAATCTACCTCCCCCCATATTCAGGGTCTAGTGCCAAAGCTGAGGAAGGCTACTGGACCCAATTGTGGGGGCAATTGGCACGCATTGCTAAATAAATCAATATGCTCAGAAACTTGAACCTTTGTTTCCTCAGTCATTTCATCTTTCAGCAGCCTCACATATTGATTTAGAAAACCACATATAACATTATCTATGTTCTATTATACTTTTATTTACTTTGTTAGATGTTTTTCAATTACATTTTAATCTGGGTTAGTCACACTGGGGAGTGTTGGTATGCTTGACACCTCTGCTCTAAAGGAAAGAATGGAGAGAGAAGAAAGCTGCAGGTGGAGAATTAGAGACATCTATACTGGGGAGACGCGGGGCAGAGAGGGAGAAGGACAAGAATTAGCAAATGGGACTGAAAAGGAAAATTAATTGGTAGGAAGAGAACCAGAAGATAGCAGTGTCCAGAGAACCAAGAGAATATAGGAATGGAATGTAAGTTCAAAACTGTAAAATACTACAAAAAGATTAGGATGAGGAGTGAGAAGAGCCAGATCCAATGGTTTTAGGAAGCAGTAACAAAGAGCAGGTACAGCAGAATGGCGGAGGAAGAAGCCAGATTGCCACACTACAAGATACTTAGATAGTGGCTGTGCCTATGAATCCCAAAGTTTAAGGTATGAATTGTGAAGTAACCCAAGATACATAGAGTGAAACATCACATGCACCTCCTGCCCCCAAGGCCTGCTCCAGCACAGTGGAAGCACCTCTCCTTCTGACCAGGCTCCCATACATCCCTCCAGCTCCTGCCTGCTGTGGGACAGCCACCACCATAAAGAAATGGAGAGTATGGAATACTATATTCCAGAAGGCAAAAGATATAGGTTTACAGCCAAGAATAACGTACCCAGTAAAACAGAGTATAATTCTACATGTTCCTAAGTGAACTTTTAATGAAACAAATTTTCAAGCATTCCTGATGAAAAGACCATAGCTGTATAAAAACTATGAAATGTAAACTCAGGAGTCAAAAGAAACATAAAACGTAAATATGAGCAAACAATCATAAATGACTAAAAAAGGATGGACCGTTTACATTCTAATATGAGGAGATGATACATGTGTCTTCTCAGAACCCTACTATCATCAGTGGTCAATAGAGGGAGTATAATAGGACAGTTGGCCTGGGAATGGTTTTAAAAGGAAAGGGAGAGGAAAAGGAAAACACTAAGGGGGAAAGGTAAAGGAAGAAGTAGTTATTTTATGCAAATAGAAGGTATGCAAATAAAAGACTACAAAAACAAGGAAGAAGAAGCAGGGGAGTAGGTAACACATGAACCTCACTCTCATCTGAACTGGTCAAAGGTAGAAAGAATACACACAGTTGGAAGCCAAAATATATTTCATTCAACAAGGAAACAGTAGGGAAAGGGAAGAAGGCAGAAGAGGAAATAAGGGGAAACAGGGAATTGAGGAGATTGGAGCAACAAGTGGTGGTGGAAATTGAGTGAACCATACTGATTCCATCTTGTGACTCAATTCTGAAGCTAGTTCAGTTCCCTTTCTGTCCAATTAAGGGTCTTCTGTCTTGTGAGAAAACATTATTCAATTATGGGAATTGTCAGAAAACCTTATTGTATTGTTTAATTGTAATCCTGCATACGGAAACTGGACCACCTCTACCTGCTGCTTAGAGACCCTTATCTAAGGACCTAGGTTATACTGAACAGAAACCCAGTCAGATCCAAAGACTGATGAAAGGAATTATTTCACAATTATATATCTCAAGCAAACCACTTGTTTTATCTGAAAACTGGATCCATACTGGTCAATCAGTTATTGTTTTCATATTCCTTCGAATGCAGATACTTGCAGGGAGTGAAACACCTCTTTTTTCTCAATTCAAGGAATTGCACCTGTTCATTCTCCCCCTTCTAACTTGGAAAGCCCATGATCTTTCCTCCAATTAGAAATAAGATTACCTAATATAATGTTTCCTTTTAATTAACTGGCCTCATTTTATTAATTGTTTTCAATGTATAAAAGTCTGTCTCCCCTATACTCGGGAGTCTAGTGCCAAAGCTGAGACAGACTTACTGGACCCAATTTTGGGGGAAATTGGCATGAACTGCTTAATAAATTGAAATGCCTGGAAGCTTAAACCTTTTGTTTCCTCGGTCATTTCATCTTTCACCTGCCACAGAGTGCAGATAAAGGAAGAGATTAGTCCAAAAACAGACTTCATCAAGCCTAGAGCACCAGTGCTGAGCGCACTCCTCTCTCATCACCCTCTTCTTTATAAAGAGGAGGTAGGAAACAAAGAGAAGGGAAACTGTAAAAGAAGAGGAGGGAAATACACAATTTCCCATTTCTGTGGATGTCAATAGGATGAACTTGCCCATAAAATGAAAGATGATAGCAGAATGCA